CACCGGCAGTAACTTGGATGTGCTGGACGTGTCGCAACTGCTCTTGCACATGGCGGCTGTCTCCGCCTGTTTCTGCATCACCCCAGGTCACAACAGCCCCAGATTTGAGAATGGCAGCAAAAGCCCCCTGCGTTGCTTGGATGTGCTGGACGCTCCTCAGCTGCTCTTGCACCTGGCTGCTGTCTCCGCCCATGTCTCGACGACCCCAGGTCACAACAGCCCCGGATTCAAGAATGGCAGCAAAAGCACCACCAAACAGCAGCTGCTCTTGCACCTGGCTGCTGTCTCCGCCTGTTTCTGCATCACCCCAGGTCACAACAGCCCCGGATTCAAGAATTGCGGCAGAAGCAAAACAAGTTGCTTGGATGCGCTGGACGCTCCTGAGCTCCGCTTGCACTTGGCTGCAGTCTCCGCCGTATCCTGGATGTCACAACATCCCCAGATTCGAGAACGGCAGCAAAAGCACTGGCCAAGCAAACGCCCCATGGGTGGCGGCCAGTTTGCCAAGCTGCAGAACCGCACACAGCGCTTCTCCATCACGCAACCCAGCCTCACTCAGTGTGGCCGTCAAATCAAGCTGCTGGCCTTTCGCAGTGAGCTTCAAGCGGCGCTGGAAATGCTGCTGCGCTGTAGATTTCAATTCGCTGATGGGCCAACCATCTCCGCTGGGCAGGTGAACGTCCACCTTCATGGCGCAGGAAGGTGCTTTTGGGCGTATTGAAATTGCTGGACAAGAATCTGAGACCAACACATGTAACTTGGGACTTGGGGGGACCTCTTTGAACGAGCTCATTTGCAGGGTTTAAATCCTGCAAAAAACAAATCCTTCATGAGTGTTGCAACATCCCCCCCCGTCAGTACAGCCCCAGCTGTCTAACCAAAGCATTGTGACTGAACCCAAAGCGACATCAACGTCAATCAATGCATGTGCAACCGGACGTGCAGAAAGGCGGATCGTGGGTCACACTCAAAGCCAGCAATGGAGCTTTTACCGAAAACCGGGAAACCAATTCTACAAATGCCCAAGTTGCCACACCAAAAAGGAAACTCTGGAACCTAAAGGGCAAACCACCTTTCTACCCTTGAGTTTGCGTCTCATCCTTCGGCTTGGAGCAAACCTGAGCAACCTCTTAAAATGGGGAGCCAACGCCCAATCTTGCCACCCAGGTCCCTATGTTGCGAAGCCCAAAGATCCATTCTGCCAATTCTGGTAAAATGGACATCTTCTCATTTGTTCCTCCCTACTCAAAGAAGGGGGCTGAGAGGCATTACGTTCCTCTCAAACTCCAAAGGGGATCCTCAGCTTTCAGAAATCCCTTCGCCTGTCTGACTTGCTAAAACATGTCACAGGGGAAACCAGGACGACTATCATTTTGGGGGGGTCGCCTAAAAAAGACACACCCATGTGAACCCCAGTTCGATGCCCAGTTCGATGCCCATCAGTCGAAGAATTGCCGCAGCATTCAAGCCACCCATTTTTCCCCGTGCAACCCCTGGCAAGACTGGCCCGCTCATCTAAAGCCAAGGCACTAGCGAAGGTGCCACTTTTGAAGTCCACACCGAAGAAGGAGCCAACGTTGAAGCCTCGGCTTGGCGATCGTTCGGGCTCTGGCGAATGTGGCATTCAGCTAGGGCTCTCAACACCGGGAAATTGTGAGATGGGTGGTTTTTCCCTTGAAACCAAACCAAAAAGGTCGCCCTATAAAAAGGAACAGCAACCACAGCTGCACAGTGGCCGTGGAATGAAAGGGGTGCCCTTGCTGGTTGTAGGCCATAGGTTGGCCAAATCGGAACAAGGAAAACCACTGCCAACTGGAACTGGATAATGCTGAAGGACAGGAGACGCACTTAGACTACACAAACGTCCGGAATTGAGCATGGAAGTTTACGCCCATAAACCGCACAGCTGCCCCAATGTCTTTTTTTGGTCAAAACAGGGGACACCCTCCTCTTGGCTGCCCTAAAAACAATCACAAACAAGGGCTCCCACCAAAACAAATACACACCAATGTTGGTGAAGCTGCGCATGTGTTTGTTGTCGTGTACTGAGTCAAGCCACGTGAGCCTCGTTTGCTGCCTGTATGTGTGCCATCCTTTGCCAAGCATACCCTCACCAGAAGTGAGGCAAGTTGTTCCCTGCAGCATGCAGTCATGCGGCTGACTCCCCTGGAGACATGCTAACATCGGACAAATGTATAGTTATATGTATATGTGTATGTATATGTATGTATATGCATATAAAGATGTATATGTATTCATGTATGTATGCATGTATGAGTGAATGTATGAATGTATGCATGTATGAATGTATGTATGTGTCTATGTATCGTAGTAATATCTATCATGTATATGTATATGTATGTGTATGTGTATGTGCGTGTGCGAATGGCATGTGTGTGTGTGAATGGTATGTATGAGTACGTGTGTGTATATGTGTATGCGTGCATGGCATGTATGTATGTGTATGTGCAAGTGAAATAGTTTGCATTGTATGCGTTGCATGAAATTTGATGCAGTGTATGCCTTGCATCTTCCGCATTCCATGCATTTGAGGCATTGCATGCATTGCATGCCGTGTATGCATTGCATGCAGTTAATACATTGTATGCGTTGTATGCAAATGCTTGGTATGGCTTTTGATGCATGTAAGTGTATGAACAATCTCACCAATACTGCTCAGTGCGGGATCTAGGCATGCTGTTCGCATGGCTGAACCGTAGATCAATCTCTCTATAATTCCATCTCGCAATAGATCCTCCCACCAATTGACATGGAACATGACGTTGGGGGACCTGGTTTGGACTGTTTTCTTTCTCAAGGGACCCGCAAACGTCAGCTTTGATGTCAAAACGAAAAGCGTGCAATCCTTTTTATTCCGATTGCAGCATTGGCTCTTTGCATGGCTTTTGACACAAGGATGCATGCAACTGTATGTAAATCCATATCGCCATTTATTTGTATGACCATGGGTCAAAATCCCGTACCCCCAGTGAACATCCCCACTCAAAGAGGTTCTAAAATGAATCCCCCCAGTGAACATCCCAGCTGGAATAGACTAAAATGGGTGGTGCACCTACCCCAACATGGGATCCCATTGGTTTTGACAACCACCGCCGTATCCGAATGCCGCCACGTCCCAACCGAGGCGCTGGCGCCCGCCTGCGCGCCCACGGTGCTCAGCAGCAGCGCCCGGCTCAGCGCCAGAGGCACTGCGTCCAGGATCAGCTTCCTCCGCGGTGGGGGGGGGTGGATCCGGTCGTATTTTTCAGAACAAGGGGCTGTAGAAGAAAACCAATGTGTGCAAAAAAGGCGTCTACCAACAATTTTTGCATGAAAGCGCCGTCTCCTATTAACGAGCCATGCTTTTGCCTCCACAACACGTCAAGGTGCAGCAAAAAGGAGCGGATAGACCATCGTGCGTTCCCTCCTAGTCGTTTGCTTGAGGCCTGCGCATTTATGCGGGGAGGGTATTCTCCAAGAAACAAGTTGCCCATGCTGCTGCAGTTCCTTGTGAGCTGTACCTTCCGCCATCTGAGAAGCAAAGGCGGCTGGATTGGCGCCAATTGAACAAACAAAAAAAAACATAAACATCTCCACGGACGCTGGCCCAAGGGGTTCTAATCATATGCTATCTGCCAAGAATTGGACATAGAGCGTCATATTTACGTCCTCCCGTAACATCAGCTTCTCAAGACAATGCCCAAGCCCGAGCTGCCAAGGTTCAAGCCATCTCGCCAAGCGCGCAGCTTGCGACGATCGGTGACATCCTCATGCCGACCCAAGAAACTCGAGATCTCTATGTTTGGCCAGTGAGAAGACAGCATCAGTGGCAAGGGCGGACTGACAATTTTGGGGGGTAAACACAGAACCTGCGCCTTGGACTAGTAATAACGCCGCGCAAAGGGTTCAACACGCTTGCCTTTG